TGCTTTTTGTGATCTGAACGGGATATTTACCACTTCATTTGTTTTTCCGACGGACAATTAGGAATTGTGTTTAGTTCACTTGCATGCACTGTCCCCAGGGGATGCGTCGAAACAAGCCGGCTTACGCTGTTGTTTGAAATGCACGCCCCATCTTTTCAGTCGGGATTTGTGAGAGTGAATCACCAAGACAGGATTTCACAGATAGTTGCCTTCCTTCAATTGATCGATCGAATCAGAAACACCACAGTTGTTTCTGGTGGCAGAAATCTCCGGTGCGTTCCCTGATGGGATTTCTTGGTAGGTGGTGGTTGAAGGGGGGGGCTGTGTGTGCTGCTGTACCAGTTACCTGTTGGTATGGGTCTTCTAATTTGAACCAAGAGTAGTCATCTCAATATCTGGTCATTTGATTCTTCAGAGGAAGTCGGGCATACGACTCCGAGAACCACGGTTCATGCTTTGCCCAGGTATACATAACCAAAATTGTTTTGTTTGTTCACTGCAGAACGCAGCTGGGCTAGCTCACAATAACACTGATCAGATACGATGCAGACTTGAGGATCCGATGAAAAGCCAGGTGTCGGAGGCACTCGTGATATAGTCAAAAGAGTTGCGTGTCCTAGAACGTATGAGCCCTGAGTAGTGGCTCTACACACGCACCCGACAAATGAGTGGTTCAGTTGAGTTCATGGTTGGTTTGCACCTGGTGACCACCAGGTTACAAGATGTGAGTTTCTGCTGAAATCCATCCTGACGACAAGCAGTCAATGAAGGGCAAATAACTGAAATTGATCTCCGGTATCTGTGCGGCGGTCATCGACTGCGAGTAGAACACCCAGATGTGGTTCCACATGGCTCATACGACAGACCTGGGCAGTCGGAGCACCATGAGGATGACAATCTCAGCGCTTTTTTGCTTGAAGAATCAGGCCGGACAGGTCTCTGTTGAGACTTTCAATGGCATCAGAACTCCAGTCCGCCAGAATTGATACTACGTACAAGTACCGGTTTTGATGTCAAGTGGCACTGCACTTGACTGAACTTGGTAACCGAACGCCGCAAAGATGACCGTTCACTGGAATCCAATCCAGCACGTTCAACCCTGAAGCTGAGTGCTTAGGGACCCAGGAAGCGAAATGAGATAAAGCCCAGGCCGTTTTCGGTATTCTCAAGTACGTGACCAAACGTGGGTCTTGCATGTCAGAGAGTTCTCGGTGACCAAACGTGGGTCTTGCATGTCAGAGACAGCATACGTCAACGCCAAGCGGGCACAAGGTCTTAGCGAGGATTGTGCATGCCGGGGCACACTATTGCGGGCTGCTACGTAGAGGATTCAGTGAATTCATGTATAAATGCTTCTGTAATATATACGTTGACCCGTTTGGCTGCGCCCTCCGGCTTCTTTTAGATTGTAACTGAGCGTTATAATCAAATGCTGTCGGCATGGCTCTGTTTCACCTATAGGTTTTCATCTATAATAGTGCCAACTTATCTCGGCAGAATGATTCTACGCGCTGATGGGAAATTTCTTCCCCTGAGGATTTTACGCGCTGATGGGAAATTTCTTCCCCTGATGTATCGTAACTTGCAAGGTACACAACAGTAAGGCTGCCCACAGACTGCTAGGTGGGTTGGTAGCGTTTAACTCGGAATCCGGTAAATGCTACGCCGGAACATCAGTCGCGACATAGATAAAATAAACACACCATGATTAGTAGCCGAACGAAATGCCTACCTGACACCATGTGCGAATATTCATGCAACTGTTGATAGAAATAACAGAAAACCAGAGCCTAAAATCGTTATATTCGAAAAGCGACGCAGCTAGCTGAAATGATCGTTGTAAAATAACGTTTATGTACAAGCGCAGCACGATTCACCATCTAAACTAAAGTAGAAAGTGGTGGGCCGGAGTTCTAAGTACATACACGGTCAACCAACCATTAGTCCGATTCCGAAGGCATATTTTGCTTTTGTCTGGTTACCCAGTGCACACAGTGTAAACGTGAACGGGAATGGTGTCAGTTTCTTTTCTAAAGAACTAGCGATATTCCAGTTTGAGTCCAATTGCGCTTTGAAAGTCACATTTGCCTTTGGAATATCATATTTGTAACCCAGTGTTGTCGTATTGGTTTGTTGCTGGTGACTGGACTCAAGTTCGGCGGCGAGCTGTAGGCTTTCATTGACTTGAAGATGTAAACTTGTATGAATACCAAGCTGCCATGGCCGAAGGGTGGCACATGCCTGCCAATTATCAGACGTATATTTACCGCCGATACTCCAAACACCATTTTGTTTCGAAGGCAGTTGAGGGGACCGTTGGTAAAAAAACATGCTCCCGAGTGCAACTCGGTTAGAAACCTGTTTCATGACATCAACGGCGGCCATCGCTTGCCCGCGGTTGATATCTGGGTTGACAATTGTAAATGCAGTCTGCCACTTTTTCGCCTTTAGTTCTGTAACGAGCTGTTGTCCAACCATTTTGTTCCTCTGAGCCTGCGCTGCGTAACGGATATACACAAGTGGTGTTAGCCGATGGATGATGTGCGCCTGCAAGTTTCCGTTCGGCTGAAGCTCGCCCATTAAAATGGGATAGCTTTCGGTTTCCGAGACTTTCTGGTGCCCCACGTACGTAACACCGAATCGATAACCACCTTGCTCGTCATTGCACAGTGAGAGTGAATGGTTCACCTGAAAATTTTGGGACAAGCCCTTGTTTATGACTAGCTTTGCACCGTCAAAAGGGACCGGGAAAACTTCATGGGCCTTGTTGTGAATAGTTTCGATCGTTCCTGGTCCTTCGTTTGGCAAAGCGGTTTTCTCTGGCCCTTCGGAAACCGGTAATTGTTTGGGCGCGTCACCTTGAGGAGATGCGGCTCGCACAACATTACCCATTGTGCTGCAAGAAATGCAAACAAAAATAATTCAAATCATGCCAGAACAAGTTAGAAATACCCAGGAAAGCCAACGAAAACAAGGAACAACCTACTGGAGGCCAAGACACGCCGGACACTCAAACCGAGCGCCGCGAAGTATTCAGTTCGGGATTTGTAGTGTCCGCTGACTTCATCGGCCTAAGGGTTTCCATGCTTTTAGTGCATATGATGGATTTCCAATGGGATGTTACGAAGCAGAATGAGTCGTCGGGACCATAGTCGACCCGTAGTCACAGTTTGCTTTGTAGTGTCTGTAATCCGTTGTCACATTTACCATTCTTCCTGAACTTAAACCACACTTTGTAACTGTCGTTCACATTGTATCATGACGTTTGTTTTAATGTTACGAATACACAATTTTCCGGTGCGACCTGCTGACTTCTTGCTAAACGAGTGTATCTACGCTCCGTTGAACTGTTTGTTGACTGCTGAACCAGTGGGA